ACCCCAATCTGCAGGATCTCCACAATACAGACAATCAGCAGGATAATAAAGCCTAGCATCGATAGTGTAGCAGAAACAAGAGGCATCAAACATAACCAAAGTCTGTGTGCGATGATCACTTTCTTGCAAGTAAAGATATATGGATAAAAGTGTTAGGTCATAGATGAAAGATTTGAAAAATTCATTCGTTACCTATGTATTGCTTTTTGTAGTTTATTCTTTTCTTCTGTCTGTTCTTCCACATGCGTTGTCCAAGCTTGAATTAATGTACTCTGAAAGAAGTACATAAAGTACATTTTAAAATTATATGCATGATATTGAATATATCTTTGTCAAAATCTCCTGTTCCCAAAACATGGAAGAGGAGAGGTAAAGATTGTTAGGAGTGCAAGGCAGTGGATTATGCAAGAGTGTTTCCTGGATACAACAGGGCAGTAGCTTATATGAATTCACAGCAGTCAAGATAGCATGCAGAAGACTTGTGCAGGCTAAGGCCAACAGAATTCCAGCAATGAGAGGGAGGTGGCTACATAACCAACCCTAGCCAGGAGAGGTTGTCAGTGATCAATGGGAAAAGGATGAATGATTTTCTTTATGGGTAGAGTGTTTGCTAGTTTGTCACTCTCTACTGGATGCTACACATCCAGACATGTATGTGTAGCCAAATTGACATAATGCATTTAAAAAGGAATAAAACATGAAGCAGAGTGTTTGTTAAATTGAAGGCAGGTATGAGATGAGTTGGTGAAGGGTTATATATCATCAAAATATATTGTTGACTATTCTCAATGAACTATTTAATATAAGAAAAAAGACTGTACTCAGGGAAATGTGCTTTATAATGATCTAGTACTTATTCTTTAAGAAAAATTAATATGAAAAATAACTAATAGCCAAGATATCACAGAAAGTCTTAGGTTAAAAAGAAATCCAAACTTTCATGAAATGTTTATGTATATCTTATCGATCTACATTATGATGATATTGGCAGAGATCAAAAATTCAATTTGAGATTAGTTTTCCACACAGCATTGTCAACAATAGCCCAATACATAAAAATTAAGAGTCCATCAAAGGGTAAGTGGGTAAGCCAACTATGGTAAATACGAACTATTTAGTGTAGATAATCACAGTATTTATCATTAATCGCTTAACATTGGTAGGACATGGTAGCTTATGTTTTGTTTTAATCCCAGAAGTCTGGAAGAAAAGTAAATCACAGCATGAATTTGGTATGAGCCTGGGCTACATAGTCCCTGTCTCCAAAACCAGATCATATTCCCAGAGTAATGATCTGTACAAGCTCAGAGAACTTCTGTAACCTCAGAGAATTTAAACTAGTATTTAAAAACAGTTATATATGGATATGTCAAATATATGACTAGGGAGAATTTTTTTGATTTTATGAGACAGGGTTTCTCTGTATTGTTTTGGAGGCTGTCGGTCCAGCCTGGCCTCGAAGTCACAGAGATCCGCCTGCCTCTGCCTCCTGAGTGCTGGGATTAAAGGCGTGCGCCACCACCGCCCGGCCGACTAGGGAGAATATTAATATCTCCTAAAATGTGAGTGTATACTACTGCTGGAATCATGAAACTTTCATCTCACTCTTTCAGAAATGTATACAAAACAGGCTTTGTTAAGATGGACTTACATGAGTTGACTCTAATTCTTTAATTTTCTCTTCTTGGTGCTTTGTTTGTTGCTTGCAATTCAGCAATTTCAAGTTTAAGCCTAAAATACATGTTTCAGATGTTTACTGCACACAGTTGATAATATCAAATTACATTAAAATACGAGTTTAAGAATGAGTTGTGTTTTCTACAAACATTTAAAAATACCCAACCAGATTCTGAACAAAACTGTGAATGATCATAGGAATTATGAACAGTTCGACTTACAGAATTTTGAAACTATAAAAGTCTTAGGGTGGCCCTTTGTCTGTACAAACTTTAGAGGTAATATGAACAAATGTGAATTTTCTTAGTTGTCTTAGTGTTACTGTGTATCAAACATATAGATTCAAACACACAACACATACATACCTCCACTGAGCTTCAACAACCAAAGTAAACCCTACATTTAAGGTAAACTAAGTATAGATTTTCCCTCTGGTTACAAAAGTGTGCAATTAGTATGTATTATACAAATTCTCTCTTCTCATGGCTGGCTTTCTGATATGCACTCAACCTATTCAGTACAGTGCTTTCATCATAGAACAATGCAGATGATCTCCATCTCTCAATCTCATAGTACAATTCTCAGTGTTCACACAGTGCCTCATGCCTCATGTAGCTAGAAGAAGCCTTAAATAGCGGCAGACCCATTGTCCTGCTGCCACACACAGAACACTGTGATCTGGCCTTTCCTGTCATGATAGACTAGAAATGCTCTGAGATGTTTCACCACAACCACCTTTCTATCAAGCTGACTTCTCAGATATCATCTCTGCAGTAGGGAAACGTGATTGACATGGGAAGTGGGTACCACATCACCACTGTTCTAATAACAGTTGTCAAGGGCTCATTAGACTATGGAACTTATTCATGGGCATAGGATAGAATCTGGAGCTATGGTTTACATATGACACAGAAGATCAGCCTAATGAGACATTCTGACGTCAGCTCATGATACCAGAATGTCCATAAATATGAAGACATCAAGGGCTGTGGTCATGAGTTTTCTGGTGCTATTAAATACACTTCCCAGGAGTTTGCCAGAAGCGTCTGCATTAAATTCATACAAGGAATTTGCATCCAGTTTATGAAATGTTCATTGATATGAAGTTAAAAATAGTGAGATAGTTTATTTAGTGATGGAAATATTTACAAATCATTACCATTAAGGCTGTTACCTTGTTATTGTTCATATTTCACCAGAGTTTACAATGATATTCAAGTGTAAAAATGTTGGGCATGAGAGAGATCCCATGCTATTGCCCCACCCATTATTGTTTGAGGAGATTGGGTTAATGGCCCTGAAGTCAGCAGCCCCTATCTCCCTATCTCCTATCATCTGTAACACTCAGGAGGGAAGACCTTGCCCCTCACACTAGGCAGAAATATAGAGCTGATCCTGCTGGCAGAGGTGTGGGTGAGAACTGCCCCTATTAGTTATCTAACAGCAAGAATGGAAGACAGCTAGCCCTGAGGTCATGAGGGTGAGAGAGCTGCCCCTGTCCCCACCAGCTGAAACACTATGCAGTGGATGTACTGTCCCTCCACTGGGCAGTACAATAAAGCCAATTCTTTTGGCAGAGCCAGCCATCTGTGAGCATGGGAGAACTGTCTGTGTTACTCATCTGTAACATTGCATCTTAGGCAAATGAGAGATGCCCTTTACTTCTGCCTCAATCCACCATTCCAGAGCCCATAAATTCCCCCAGTTTCAATAGAGATGGTCCTTTCTCTCATCAGCCACAGCATTCCAGAGAGAGGCCCCTATACCACACCTGGAAAAAACAGTAGAGTTGCTGCTGATGTGTGGTTTTGGGAGATCTGACACTGAGGACTTGATAGCAGGAGAACTAGTCCTGCCCTTGTTTGTCACTGCTAGGGGTGAACTTGGCAGGACAACACAGGAGAGCTCACCATGGTGGTGAGGACAAGGGAGAGCTGGCAGGCTGAACAACCCTGAAGTTGCCCAGGCCAGAACCAGGCATATGAGTTGGCCCACCCCAGCATCCACCAGGACTGTGATCTCCTGGGAAAATTGAATGGACCAGTCCTGCAGACCCCAATCTGCAGGATCTCCACAATCCAGACAATCAGCAGGATAATAAAGATTGATTCCACTGACAGCCTAGCATCAATAGTGTAGCAGAAACCAGAGGCCTTGAGCCAAACCAATGACTCTGCAATGAACACTTACTTGCAAGTAAAGATATATGGATAATAGTGCTAGGTCATGGTTGAAAGATTTGAAAAATTAATTCATTACCTATCTATTTCCTTTAGTAGTTTACTCTTTTCCTCTTTCCCATTCTCCAAACGCATTTTCAATTCTTGAATTAATTTATTCTGAAAAATACATAATGTACATTTTAAATCATATGCATGATAATAAATATATCCTTGTCAAAATCTCTTAATCCCAAAACTCAGTGATCATTATGGAAGAGGAGATGTAAAGATTGTTAAGAGTGCAAGGCAGTGGATTATGCAAGAGTGTTTCCTGGACACAGCAGTGCAGTAGCTTATATGAATTCACAGCAGGCGAGATAGCATGCAGAAGACTTGTGCAGCCTCATGGCCAACAGAGTTCCAGCAAGGAGAGGGAGGTGGCTACATATACCCAACCCTAGCCAGGAGAGGTTGTCAGTGATCCATGGGAAAAGGATGAATGGGTTTCTTCACAGGTAGAATCTTTGCTGGGTTTACTGTCCAGTGGATGCTACACATCCAGACATGTGTAGTAAAATTGACATAATGCATTTAAAAAGGAATAAAACATGAAGCTGAGTGTTTGGTGAATTGAATGCAGGTATGAGATGAGTTGGGGAAGGGTTATATATCATAAAAATATATTGTTGAATATTCTCAATGAACTTTTAAAATAAGAAAAAAGACTGTACTCAGGGAAATGTGCTTGTCTAATGATCTCGTACTTATTTTTTAATAAAGGTAAATATTACGGATAACTAATACTCAAGATATCACAGAAAGGCTAAGGGTAAAATGAAATCCAAATTTTCTTCAAATGTTTATGTATATCTTATAGGTATACATTATGATGATGTATTGGCAAGGATAATAATTTCAATTTGACATTAGTTTTTCATACAACATTGTTTACAATAGTAAAATACATGAAAATTAAGAGTCCATCAAAGGGCAAATGGTTATGCCAAGTATGGTACATATGAAATACTGATTGTACACAATCACAGTAGTTTTCATTAATCACTTAACACCGGTAGGACATGGTAGCTTATGTTTTTGTTTTCATCCCAGAAGTCTGGAAGTAAAGTAAATCACATTTTATACTCAAAGTAATAAATTTTGCAAATTAAGAGAAATTCTGTAAGCTCAGAGAATTAAAACTACTATGTACAAACATTTACAATATGAATATATCAAATGTATGACCAGGGAGAATATTCTTATCACTGAAAATTATCTTCTTAGTCTTTCAGAAATTAATACAAAATGGGCTTAATAAATATGGACTTACTTGTTTTTTCTGACACTTTCTACTTTCTTCTGCTTGACACTTTGTTGTTGCTTGTAACTCAGAATATTCTTGTTCAAGACTAAAATACATATTTCAGAATGAGTGTGTTTTCTGAACACATTTTTAAACACAGTTATATTCTGAACAATACTGTGAATGATCATAAGAATGTTGAACATTTTGAAATACACTGAATTTGAAACTGAACAGTCTTTGTGTGACCTTTGGACTGACTTTACAAGAACTATGAGCAAATATGAGCTTTCTTATTTGTCTTAGTTTG